AAAACTGGAGGTTTGAAATAAAAAGTTGATTCTTCATTTTCCGCCAGTTTCATCTCCAGAAATAGATTTTAGAGAAACAAGCGTCCGTTTGTTCTGGAAGCCATGTTCACATGTTTATTTTATGTGTTCATCTAAAGGTTTTTTTTTTTTAATCAACTTTTCTTCTACAAGTTTGTTTAGTTTGCACACATTTTGTATTTATTTACTGCATTTTTATATCGTTTTACTTGAGTTTTCGTGTTTTACTCAAATGTTTGCGCTGCCTTTAAATTTCAGGTACTTCTCTAAACACATTCAAACTCTTCAGTCATTCGTGAAAGTCACAAATAAAAACAATAATTCTGACGTATTTTTTTGCTTTTGTTCGTCAGGAGTTTCTGAGTTCATCGTGATTAATTATTATAACGTTCAAATGAAGCCCCCTTTTGTTATTTAGTCATTTCTATAGTTTGTGGGAACTTTAAAATAGAATGAATTATATTATTTATAGTTTTAGTTGATTTTTCTTGTTCTTCTCGGGTATCAGTCTGATACAAATTAAATTTATTGACAAATTTGACCCAACTCGTTTGAGTTTTTAACCAACATATTCAACATCTGATCATATTATATTAAAGTTGTTTCCTTTCCTGTTTCTAAAAGTCATAAATTGTGCCTTTTATTCCTTTTTTTTAATTGTTTTGTTCTTTTTTTTTCTTTTTTTTTTAATCCACTTGTTTTACTTCCTATTTTCCTGTTTTTAAACGACTTAAATTTGTCTCAAGTTTAGCTTATTTTTTTAATTATTATTATTTTTTTTTTATCACTGGACACTTGTTTGTGATTGGCAGATGTTTTTTTTTTTTTCTAATGAATAATTTGTTGTTTTAGTTGTGACCTCCGTATAGTTCATTAGAATTTTCATTGTGTTTTGCCTTAATTTGAAGCTAATAGAGTTTTGTGTTTGTTTTAAATAAATGTATGGTTTGACATTTATTTTGCCTGTTTTAATCAGAATGATTGTTTTCAGTGCGTTTGCCTCCAAAAAGTAACGTTTTAAGGGGATGATTTTAAAACTTGAATGTCCTAACCAACCTAGCGTTACGTGTTTGCCTTTGTCCTTCTGAACGGGGTCTGATGAGTGTTTTCACATGTCATACCTCTCATGAAACACTGTGGAAATCTAAAGTTTTACACGAGTGAGGACCAGTCTCTCCTTTCACTCACTGTTCCAGATTTTTTTTCTTCCAGTACACCTGTTTTTACACACTAAACATTTGCTTGAACAAATTCTCGACTTTTTTTTTGACCAAGAAATGAAACTTTAGATAGCCACGCCCACTTTTCTTCTCTATGAAAAGGGCGGGAAAATCTGGCTTTCTGATTGGCTATGGCTGTTTTCTTTGTTCTTCTTCAGTTACAAAAAAAAAAGTTAAAAGGGTTTATCTAATACAGTAGTCCCTCTTATGGCGGTGGTTACGTTCCACCCCCCACGATAGGTGAAAAACCACGAATTAGGATCGCTATATTTATTGTAATATTTATAAGGCTTTATGAACCCTTCCCACACTCTTGCAATGGTCTAAACTCTTAAACCCACGTAATTTTAACAACATATGTATATGTACTGCACAGTACTGCAAAATGTTACTCACCAGCTCTTCAGACCAGCATCTCTGTTCCGGTCGGGCTTGGTTCTGATTCGGCAGACCTACCCTGCAGCGACGAAGCCCACCTCCCCGTCCAGGTTGATGTGCACCTGGATAATTGAGCTTCAGGAAGCTTCAGGATTATTGGCGACTTTCCAGTTCTGTGAGATTAATAGATAGCGTAGATTTGTGTTGCAAAACTTTCCCTCCATTTCAGCAGAAAGCTGCGGCCGGAAGCACTGTTGGTTTCTGGGTAATGTAGTTCTTTTGACTGGCCTTACAGTATAGGGTTATTGAAAGAAAACTGCAAAATGGTGGCGCCTGTCCCAAGTATTTA